CCTGAAAGGAGGCTGGAGCCGGGGGGGTCGGTCTCTTCTCCCCAGGAACAAGCGATGGGACGAGAGGGAACGGCCTCAAGCTGCGCCAGGGCAGGGTTAGGTTGGATATTAGGGAAAACTCCTTCCCCCAAAGGGCTGTCAGGCCCTGGCCCAGGCTGCCCGGGGCAGGGGCTGAGTCCCCATCCCTGGGGGGATTTAAAAGCCGGGGAGATGTGGTGCTGAGGGACATGGTTTAGTGATAGCCTTGGCAGCGCTGGGTTAACGGTTGGACTCGATGATCTTAAGGGTCTTTTGCAACCTAAACAATTCCATGATTCTATGGTTCTGTAAGAGAAGTAACAGAAATGCTCAGCACATCTCTCCAAGCTATGTCAAAGAGAAGTAAGTCATTGCACACCTCTCATCCTGCACCTTCCAAAGGGTGCAAACACGGCGTCTTGTCTGGAGAAGGTGGCGTGGAGCAGAACGACACACAGTTACAGTACATTAGTACATGAAGAAAAAATTTAATTTTACTAGGGAACGGTCCGTGCAAAGCAGCTCATGGCTGATTTATGTTCTGAAGCATGGAATTCATGTTTGTCACCGTTGGCAACTGACCTCTGAGACCTGAATACATACAGAGACATCGCTTTACCTTCCCAGTGTGACATGGAGAAGTATATTTGACCCATCCATTTCCTGATCCTGTTGTGAACCAAGACAGATGAAGGTGGATGCTGAGCTGTACCGCAGCGGACAACCTCCGACGAAGTGAGGGTAACATCCTTCTGCCCGCTGGCACCAACTCTGCAGTGCTGAGCACGACCGCTTGGTCTACTTGTTCAGGATACATCCTGCCTTTCACCTTACAAGAACCACGCGACAGCGTGCTCTGATGTACCGCGTGCCCCTGCTTTGGACCTGCTCCCCAGTATAAAGGTCTTTTCCAACCTGAACGATTCCATGATTGTATGATTTTGCTTTGGGAGACCTCCCTCCCGCCTGTCCATGACGTTTCAGTATTTCAGACTGAATACAGCCTACGGCTCTGTGTGTCCCAAGGGTGATTTATTTCTCTTTATGCCTTACCCTGACAGCTGAAACACGGCACTCCGGCCGGTAGTGAGATGAGCAGTCCTATCCTCTGCTTGTGTACAGTCAGGCTGCTGAAAACCCATCTCATAACTCACGACCAGCTCACCTCTGCCAGCAGCAGCAGCAAAGGGGAAAGCCATAGGGGACAGGAGAGGTAAAACAACAAGGTACTGCCTGTACCCTGGCATCAGGCTGTCTCATGGAGATCCACCACAGCTACTCGCTCTCATCTAACTGCAAGAAACGAAGCACAGAGGCAATAAAAACGCCGGGCGAGGCGGAGCAGCTCTGCTTGCCTTCACTGCAGACCCCGCAGCGCCGACGTATGGGATGCACGTCCCAGGCAGCAGCCAGCGGCACGCACAGGCTGGGGCAGATCTGCCTATAGATGCAGTATACTGCAGTATACTGCCAGCCGGCTTGCGGCGCTCAATCCGAATTGGAAACACAGAAAGGACATGCTTTGGCTGTCACTCCTGTCGCACCCTGCCGCTACGGGTGAAATCCAGGCAGCTGAAGGCTCCAGTGAACCCCTCTTAGTCCAGAAGCAGCCCCATACAGCTGCAGCTCCAAAAATCCTCTGCCCAGAAATGCCATCCCTGCTTTAGCCAACCAGCTCGTTACTTTTCACAAGTTTCTTACAGGGAGCTTAAGGAGAAAGCCATTTCCCCGCACACCCTGGTAACGCCTCGGTGTGACAGTAAGCAAGTACGTTCATTAATAACGCAGAGTTGCTCAGGCAAAGGAACGCGATCCTCGAGGGAGGGCATCGGAACAGAAGGAACACACTCAGTAACACTACCGACAAGGACTACTCTTCTAATTTACTGATCATTTCTAATTTACTAATCACTGGAAGTTCACGACTTTCAGTGCTTTAAAACCTATGAAAATAGGACCTTTATGCTAAAGGTCAAAATTCCACTCCTAAGAAAAATCATCAGTACCAGACAACAAAGAGGAGCGAAATTCTTTTTCTGTATTTGAACTGAAACCACCATCTTCACGTTGTCTGCCTGTGACTTTTGGGTACCTTTTGCTGGCCGTTTCAGGGTAAGATTTCCCTTCCTTCTCGCTTAGGTCCCTAAACCACACTCGCCCTCCTGCCTTTTCAGCCATTCGGTAACGTAGTACATAAAACTTTCACATAAAATGTATACATGTATTTCTACATAAAGATCTCGCTAAAAGAGACATGTTCTGTAAGTTCCCCTGCAGGTTTTTACATAATATCATAACATTGGAGGTGTAGGCAAAGTAGCCAAAAAAACCCCTTACTGACCAAATATTTTGAGAGGATTTGTTAGAAATGAAAATATTTTGACCAGACTTTCTATAACTTTCCTTTTGAAGGATGAAATTGGAGCCAGGTTTTACTTCTCAGTGTTTTTAACAATTTGCTCTTTCACGGTGCTTTAAATGCTTAAAATTCTACACAATACCTCTGCCAGCCTCACGCACCCCTGCAGTAAGAGCACGTTCTCATTCAGTGACTCCCCGCTGTGGAAGGGTTTCGCCGGACCCCACCGGTTACTGCAAGTCTTTAACCACTTTAGGAAACCTCTCGCGTGCTTCCACTCAGGTATCCTGTTGCACTGGCAAAGAGTTTTACATAATGTTTCATTTCAGCCAAGAAATTCTGTGCATGACTGAGGAGAAAAGGAGAAAGGAAAGGATCGGGTTGAAGGGTAAAGTTACAGCATCGGCAGCTGCACCAGCAGCTCCGCGGGGAGATCCAGAGCTGCAGCCTGCTGCCTCTGCCTAACGGGAAGACTTCATGCTTCTTCACAAAGCTGTGGGTTATGAAGCATGCTGATTTTTAAGAAAGAATAACAACACTATAGTGAGTAGACTCTCCCCAACTCAGAGAACAATTTATGTCGCATCCTCACATTTTATTATGGCTTTTTTTTTTACTAATTCAGCTCATAGCATCTAAGCAGACAAGCAGATACCCGAGCAGAGCTTTGAAGGAGGAAAGAATTCAGGCAACGTTGGTCAAATGAATGGGTGCTGAAACCAGAGGCGGGCAAGAGGGGAACTGCTATTACTAACACAGGACGTAAATATGATAACGAATTGGCTGCGAGGTGCTGGTTTCCGCTGCTCCTGAAGACAGCATGATATGGCAGTGTCTGACAAGACACATCGCCTCCTCAGAGTGGCAAAGACATCAGGATCCAAACCAGAGCGAAATCCACTATTCCCTCCGCTCCGTACTCTTGCACTACTGGAGAAACCCCAGAATCCAGCCATCCTCGAAACATCGCTGAACCGTGCAACCTCAGCAACCACCCAGATACAGCACTGGAGCAAAAACCAGCACTTTACTGTATTGGCTAAGCTTGTAAATTATTTAATATTCAATGGTATTGAATAACTAAATATCGCCTGGTTTATGAGGGAAAGGAGTCCAGAACAGGACAGAAGAAAAGAGCGCAGTGGCTCAAGCCCCAGTCCTACAGGAGCCATCAGGTCACATAACAGGCTTTAGCCTCAGAGATTCTGTGCTCGTTCCTAGCCAGCGTCGTACCCAAAAGCATCCAAAGGGGCCAGAGGTACAAGGTACAGTCTTCCTGGGAAAGCTGGGGGACGGCGGAGAAAACCTGGAAGAAGTAGGTTCGCTGTTCCTGGGTGTGAAGCACAGTGTGCTGGTCTGTGACTTGCGTCAAGGCCTTAAATTAACTTAATTACGGTACCTTCTCCCCTTCGGTTCCCGCAGCAGTAAATCGGCACTTGCGTCACCAGTTCAATCCATGAGCGCAAATGGTGAAGGCAGATTTTAGGCTACCATTACAGCCTGTCTTTATAAGGCAAGAGACGTGACGGATAAACCCTCCAAGTCCTTCACACACAGAGACCGCGTTAAAAGCATCACTCCTGAAAAGGAAAATTACCTTTCCTTTTCCATCTGCTTTTCTTCCCGTCTTTGTTACTGCACCTGTCGCTGCTGCTGCTGCTGCTGCTGCTGTTCTCGGAGCTCTGAGAGTCCGACTGGGCATCGCTGCTCTCCTCCGAGCCATCAGAGAGCTCCTTCAACCCATCTGGAACATCCTTCTGCAAATGGAAGAAACGGATATAGTTACCCACTCCACTGTAAACTCCCCCAGTTAACAAAATTCTCAAAAGTAGCGGTTTTCTTTATATACCAAGCACTGACTGGATTTTTTTTATGCTTCAGAGCAATGTCAGCACTGCTTAGCCACGGGCCTCAAACACGCACACTGCCTTCTGCAAGTCCATATGAAATATTTAACACAACCCCGGCTGGCACTTCTTCTGCACCGCCCTCATCATCGCTTCGCAGGTACGCTCTTCCTTCACTTCTCCATCCCTAATCACTAACTCCAGTACAATCCCACTTTATGAGAAATCCAGTCAATTCTTGAACTTCACGACAGAAGAAAAGCGGTGCTCAGTGTCCCGCAGTCCCAGGTAACGTTAGTTTTCCAAGCAGGTCCACAGCAGCCCCTGGCCTGCGGGCACCGGCCCTTGCACAAACCGCCCTGGCGGGTGTTTCTGCGCGGCGAAGCGTCTGCACTGCCGGGGGCTGCAGCGGTGCCTTCGCGCGCGTGCACCTACGTGGTTTTCGGCTGGTAACAGCCAGCAGAGAAGCGGCAGCGGTTTTCACCCTGTCCACACCTAAACCCAGGCTGCCCTCTAGTGATTATCCTGCCCCATTCAGATTTTAACCTACGTTTGCAGATTATTGCTCATTAGTGACAACAAACTGTTTTCTGCTGATGAGGTCCAAACGAACAGGTCTGCGTGCACCAGGTGGCAAAAAATCCTTCCATTAATACCCACTGGAAAGCGTAAATCAAAACACCTCTCCCTTTAACAGGAGACAAAGGATTTCTTGTCCTTTCTCTGAAATTAGAGCTGTGACTAATTTCCCCACGTAAGGCCAAAAAGTACTCAAGGCGACACGAGCGTTAGCAATTTAATGAATTCCAGATTTCTTCCATCAGCAAGGCGAACTAATAGGTTCAGATATTCAATTGTATTTTCGTCCTGCACTTGGAAATAAAGTTCTTTGCACATTAGAAGTTACTTGTAAACCACAGTGGAAGAGAAGATATCACCAAAAGCAGGAAAAAAAAAAATCTTTCTGTTTATATCAAGCGTCACCAAAGTTGACGATGATTAAGCTTGCGTATCCCCAGTGCTGACCCTCCCTTCATTAAACCTCCTTTATAGCTTAACCTTTGGGAAGATCATTTAGTCACCTGAGACGCAGTAATTACACACTTATCTATTTCAGTTTTTTCAAGATGTCTCTTTCAAAGTCTTCTGCCGAGAGAAGATGGAGCCTGGGCGTGGGGTGCCTCCACCTCCTGCCCGGTCGGGGGGAACACACAAGCAGCTGGCGAGCCCGCGCTTCTTGGCTTTTCCCGACTTGGCATTTCTGGTGGAAGGGGTTGGGACGACGGAGCCAGGCTCTTCTCAGTGGTGCCCAGGGAAAGGGCGAGAGGCAACAGGCACAAAGCGAAACACGTGAATTCCACTTCCGTGTAAGGAAAGACTTCTTTACTGCAAGCACGATGAAACGCTGGAACAGGTTCCCAGAGAAGCTGGGGAGCCTCCGTCCTTGTAGGAATTCAAGATTAGACCGTGACTGGATACGGTCCTGAGCTGCCCACTCGCGCTGATCCTGCATTAAACAGTGGGCTGGACTAGACAGTCTCCAGAGGTCCCTTCCCACCACCACCCCGCGATTCCAACCTCCCCTTGCTTCGCAGACGGCAGCCCCATAGCTCACAAAGCCCATGCAGTGCCAATGGCTCTCCTTCCAGCTGGGCCTCCTCCTACCAGCGAAAGGTTTTCACCAGTAGCTTCTGATGCGGTGTCCAGTCTGCGCTGTGGATCCCACATTCTCTCGAAATTTCCATGCCAGACATCAGTACAGGATCTCCATTAACATCGACGCCTGCACGCACCTGCAGCTCACCCTACTGCAAGTTCTGCTTTCGAAGCAGAAGTGAACTCTGAACTGCAGAACCGTCTTCTCTACACCATACTTCTTCTTTCAAGAAGTGAACTTATTCCCTTTAGTGAACCACACTGAATAATCAAATAAAATTTGGTCTCTTAGCTATCAGTCCTATAAATGCATCTGCTAAGATGGCGCGCGCTGGCTTTAGTATCTGCGGTAAAAGTTGAACTAGACAGGCTTCTCCAAATATCACGTTAAAAATATTCCTACAAACTGGAATCTTCCAGGCTGCTGGTGAACAGCAAATTCACTGCATACCGTGGAAAAATTCAAAGGTGAAATGCACAAGGGCGGAACTACAACATGATCATCCAAACAGGGACAGACGCTATTTTGTATTCCACATTAGCGATGAACTTGGGACCAGCAGACCTGAAGATGGCAGGCAGAAACACACTTGGAAATCACCAGGCATGAAAACACCGTTGGGGTGAGAGGTCTACGCGACGGTCAATGAGCTGACGTACGGGGCTTCCAAACAACGGGCCTTGCAGCAGCTCGGCAGGGCTGGTGGTCGCTGGGATAAAGGCGAACCTCGGCGCAAGCAGGGGCCGCGTGGCTGCTGCCACGCCATGGGACGGGGAGCTCAGGTGCTGCACCGAGAGCGAGCGCGGCTGAAGGAGGGGGACAAGGGAGCACCGGCAGCCGCTCCGCGTCCCTCCTCGGGCAAAGACGCCCCCAGCATTCCCACCCCGATGGCAGCGATGCAGGGGAATCCAAGAGAGAAACAAGGGCATCCAGAAGTGAGAAAAGTCTAAGACAAATATACACAATGTGTGCGTGCCTCGTGCATCGGTTTTGTTTAGATTTTTTCTATTTTACTTTTTACTTGCTTAATCTTTTCTCTCTCAACCTCCTGCCACAATGACTCCAGTTTCTCAGCGTCAGCATACCAATTTTCAGTCCAAATCCTACAAGCGTACGTGGAAGGTCAGAGCATCGGCTTCACTAACGTTATCCAGTCATGGGTCTTTTCAATGCAAAGTACAGGGGGAAGCAATAAATAAAAACACACAGAGACACAAACTGGGTAAGCAGAGGGTACCAGAGACAACACTGAAGACCAAGAGGCTCCAGTCACTGGGCCACCAGGACCCTCCAGATAGCTCCGGAGAGGGCCAACATGAGCTTTTTAAGTAATATGATGGGGAAACAGAGGAGAATGAGGATTTGGGATATTGGCGGTGGGCTGAGGGATGAGGCAAAGCTTACAAAGGAAAGTTGAGGGGAGGGGGGCAGGGGAAGATCCAAGTGGGGGAATGAAACAAAATCACCCCCCCAAAGCTCCCCCTGCACACGCAGCCTTCGCAAACGGTGAAAAACACACGTTAGGAGGAACTCAAATACCCGAAGTGACCAGAAATTCAGCACTTTTTTGCTGAATTTGAAGGCAATTTTGCAGTATTTGAAGGTCATGCTTATCTGTTTCATTCTGTAGTACACAGAAGTGCTGCTGGGGACCGAGCAGACTGCTCAGGCTGTACGAGGAGCAACCAACACATCTCCACTAGGGCAAATGCAGCTCACCTCGAGATTTGGGGTTGCCCCAGCAGAGCAGTGCTGGCTGATTTGGGGTGTTACACGTCCCTTCAGCAGCAGAGCAAGGCCAGAGCATCTAAGCATTCTTCAAGAGATTAAATGTTATTCTTTGCTCCCCCCTCCCCATGCAAAGCTCGGTTATTATCTCTAGACCGGTGAAACAGTCATTTCGGGATCCAGTTTCCTCTTGGTATCATCACAGCCAAGCACGAGTGTGCCTGAAGTCATACGCCCTCCACATCCACCCTGCTTGCTGCTGCCAAAAACACGCTGCACCTAGCAAAAGAGAAGCCTGCCCATCGGCTCAGGACCTGACCTTAAACAAACCTTTGCAGCTTAGCTGAGAAAGCGGTCGTGTTTCTTGAGAACTGCAAACCGTGCCTGTGCGCTCTGCTTTGGGGCAGTGCCTGTTCGCTGCCGCGAGCAGGCTCAGCACTGAGACACGGAGCGCTCGGTGCATCGCAAATCACTCCTGACTACTATAATTAGGCACGGTTTGGGGAAAAGAGATGATTAGGTACTTGGAAACAAAGCAACAAAAAAGAGGAACAATAAAATCACGTTAATAAAAATTAATGTGAAATTTAGTTCAGTCGCTAGCTGCCATTAGGAATTTTCCTCTGGAGCATCTCCTGGCCACCAGCGTTAAGCAAACACCTCCAGAAACAGCTAATCCTTTGAACATTATTTTGCAGAACTGACATACACCTCAGTTACGATTCTCTAATCTGTTTTACATATCTTTACCATCAAGTCTAACCAAAAAAGCAAAGGAAGATCCCAGCAGCCTACCAGGCTCCCTACTACTAAGTTCAATGATACTGCAGTCCAGCTCAGTGAGCCAGCAAAAACGCAAGCGCAACTTTGCTTCGCTCACCGAACATTTTACCATAAGCGTTCTCTTTTAGGAAGCGCGATTTACTGGACGCCTGGCTCTCCTCCTCTCCACGCGGTGTCACAACACATCGCTTGGGGAACGGTCAGCCCTGTTCTACACAGCTTTCTATTTCTAAATTGCTGCCTAAAGCCATCGTGCTTTGTCCATCATGGATCCTCCAGAATATTTCTCATCCAACACATCAGCTTCACAATTCCCAGGCTCCTCCTGGCACTGCGCTGGGACTAAATGCGGCAAAGGGGAGCTGGGACTGGTGCCGCAGGGCTCAAGATCTCCCTCTTTCCTGGCATTCTGGGTTTCTCGCTGCTCCGTGGAAGACGCCACCTCCAGACTACACCACCCCAGGGAAGGAAAGCCCACAACAAAACTGGCAAGCCTTTAGATATGCAGGACACAATACGCCTTGGGAGTAACTCCGCAGCTAGTCTAGCCTCCTGTTTAATACAAATCATTACCTTTAATCAACTTACTCCTACACTCAGTTAAATAATATTGGAGTTTTGCTGAAGCTTAATGTTAGGAAACAATCAGTCTTAACTCGCAGATCTCATGAGCAAAACAAACTGAACTACCACAGTAACCCCAACAGTCTGTTTTGCTGTTCAAATGCACACTTAAACTTGACTTTGCTGAGATTTAATCTCTAGACGCTGAGTTTGCCTATGATCCACCCCACTAACGATGTGCTCCCAATCTTTCAAAAGGGACTTTTTTTTTTTACATCTTGAATGATATTGCTCTTCTCTGCACCTTTTCAGCACAGCTTTGCCACATCATGACACAGAATTCACTGACAATGACTCAACTGCTTGTCTACTGCCAGATCTAAATCTTTTCTGGAGTCCTAATGACCTGACAAAACACTGCTATCCCAGCCTGCATTTAGGGTCTGCCTTCTTTATTCCTAAAATGTAAAACTTTATACTTTTCTACAGTGAAACAAACAGAGCAAGATTAAGCCCAGTTTATCAGCAAACAGATAACGACTTTCCCTTCCTTGCTGGTTATATCTCTGGCAGTCCTTACCCTAAACGCACTTGTTATCAAAATGGTGATTTATGTACTTTCACTTAAACGCCCTGAAATCAGGTCAACCTCTGCTTGGTACAACGATGCTCAAAGAAAGAAGTTTGCCAGATGTCTTGCAATGGCATTTTTGGAAGCTCTGAAGCTGTTCTGCTCTGGTGGCACGTCAGCCCCAACGCACTGCTCCCAGAGTGACGTCCTCTGTCGCCACGTTATATACAGGCACTCAAGGAACAACGTGCTTTCCCAGTTTACAGGGTGGAGGGAGGAGACAGCGAGAATGGGACTCAACTTAGCCAAATTTTTGACAACGAGGACATCTTTTTCTGGGCAAGTCTTAGTTGATTTCCTTGGTAAACTAAGTGGCACTTTTAAAACAGTTTCTCATATATTTTGAATATTTTAGGATGAGATGAATGTCACCTTAGAAGTTATTATTTCTCTCTAGTGAGCACGGAGTGAGATGAGGAAAGCAGTCCCAGCAGACTCCTCCACTGGAGAGGTTTATGTGTAGGGAGGGGAATCCTATCTTAGGGCACAGTCTTCAGAGTCAGATTTACAGAACATCAAGAACAGTGTGAGCGGGCTTCATTCTAGCAGTTTAACTGGGGAAAAAGGTTTCACATAAAGATTATTTTTCCATATGCCAGCCAGATAAATCAAGAAATCTACATGTTTTCCCTGCAAGTGCTCTCCGCCTGCTAGCCATAGACTGAGGATACGGTAATTTCTCATTTCTAGATACAAGCTGAGATCAGTGAAGATGAAGTTACCCTTTTAGGGCTAAAATTTCATTACAATTTTAATTACTCTTTCATTTCTGGGATAGAAACGTGAATAAAACCCAGCACCTTCCGTTGTATTTTCAGCACACAAACACCAGACTTGGTGTTTGCATTTGGAGGGAAAGTTTACGCTACATTCATGCTATCGAGGAATGGTTCCCTCTTCAGGATTATCCTAATCCTACATATTTTCAAATGGATAAAAGTCACCTGAGCATTCAAACAAGATTCCCCAGCCAGGCCACTTACCTTCAGCGTGTACACTCCCATGCGCCCCGGGACCTTATAGAAAATGCCCTCTTCCCCTCGGGAGTTTGTATGTAACATAGCATTCAGGCATGCAAGAGGAGAAGTCCCGCTGAAAACAAAAACACAAGGTTAATGTTTGAATGTACTCGGTCAGTGTTAATCTTCTGCTGGGAGACGATCACGGCCCCTCACCTGACCATCATGCATGCAGAGGCAGAAAGATTCCCGATCCAACTTCTATTCCCAAGGAGAATACAAGTTGAAGCTGCCGTAATAAGCAACAGTGAAACCCATCCACGTACCCACGCTCCAGTTCCAGAGAAGAAAAAAAAGCAAACAAAAAAGCCCCCAAGTTCAGGCTCCCCAATGCTTCTTTGGCCAACATCAAATCCGTCACACGTTTTTAAAGCTCTAGATATTCAACGTTGCTCATCTGAAATTCAGAGCAGATTTGTTGTGAGCTAACTGCTGACTGCAGAGATATTTAAAGTTTGGGGTTTTTTTAAAGAAAACCCACAGCCTACTGAAATGGGAGTTGTGGGATAAGGAATGGAAACCAATTATGCAATTTCCCCTGAAAAGAGTGGAGATCTTCTATCCCAGCCAGGAGAACCGAGAGAGAAGATCCATATTTTCACCGCTGCTGGTGGGGGTTTCTTTGTTTGGTTTTTTTAAACCCATCCCGCTGTAGAGAGAAGCAGAATCAGGTGGGCACGGCAAGACGGGTGACTTCTGCTCCCGCTGCAGGGTCAGGCTGATCGCACCCTCTACGAAACAGGGGTCCTTGCTCATAAAGCATATTCATCTCAGGCACAACCCCTGCACACAAATTAAGCCAGAGGATTTTGCCTCCCAACACCCTGTCACAAAGGCTGGAACCAGAACCATCAAATTGACTAAAATCCTAAATTTGTGACTGATTAACTGAAATCCCCGAGCAGGAATAACAGCTGTTTGTCTGCAGTAAGTTTTGCTATGAACATTCAAATAAACGTGCATCAAAAGCAGTGAAATAAGCTCATATAAATATAAGGTCAATAAATATTTTCCCTGGGAGGAAAGGGAAATAAAGGCTAGGATGAGCTCAGCCCTCCGAAGGTTCAAGCAGGGGACGCGCACTCCAAGTTTGCCTAAGAGCAGCAAAACAGCTCAGCCGAGTTACTGATGTCCACTACACGGAGAAGCCAACAGCCTGAAATAGGTCCCGACTCCTTTGCCCCAGCACGTATAAGCCAACAGGTAGGAGACCCTACACGGATCAAGCTAACAGGTAGGAGACTCCACAAGGAGGACTGGCCAGGCGTGGAGGCTCACCAACCACAGGAGAAATACCATTAGAATCATAGAATCAAAGAGCCATTAAGGTTGGAAAGGACCTCTGAGATCAAGTCCAACCGTTAGCCTAACTGCCTGATCCGCCTCTAAACGATGTCCCCAAGCACCACATCTCCCCGGCTTTTAAATAACCCCCAGGGATGGGGACTCAGCCCCCGCCCCGGGCAGCCTGGGCCAGGGCCTGACAGCCCTTTGGGGGAAGGAGTTTTCCCTAATATCCAACCTAACCCTGCCCTGGCGCAGCTTGAGGCCGTTCCCTCTCGTCCCATCGCTTGTTCCTGGGGAGAAGAGACCGACCCCCCC